TGCTGATGTTTCATGTTTGACAGGTGTCTCTGGTTTTAGTAATGTGCCAGCATCAGAGGTCCAGATGTCCTTTTTTTTTTCTTTTTTTTTAGTTTTCTTCATAGATCTAGATCTACTGCTGAAAGTTACTGAGATAATATTTTTTGGTTGTTTTTTTCAGACTGATGTGTATTGTTTTATTTCCAAATACACAACAAATTACTGATACTGATATGTTCTGTTTTCAATTTTTCTGTACATGAATCATGAAAATTCGCGTTGAAAAAGTGCAAAACATGTCGTGAATGGTGTTACGGTAACTTGCATAATTTTGCATAATTTTGCTTTTTTTGCATAATTTGGCCATCTAAAGTTGCATAATTCTACGGGGACAGCTGTACTCTATAAATCTCTTTATTTTTTATGAAAGCTGACTCTCTAATGAATGCCTTAGGCGAAATTATGAATATTTTGGTCTCACATGAGGGCGCTCTGTTAGCTGAGTTGACAGGTAGCATGCTACACAACAGAGCGGGTGGCCCTGGTTCGAATTCCCAGTGGGACGCTCTTGGACTTTGGTTGTTTTGGGGAGTTGTTAAGGCCCTCAAGTGGCGTCGGTGGTCTAGTGGTTAGGCAGGCGGCCACGTAATCGAGAGATTGCGGGTTCGGGGGTTCAAGCGTAAGCTCGGTCTGACGTTGTGTCCTTGGGAAAGGCACTTTGCACGAATTTCCCACTTGGCTCGGTCCTTTTGGAGACGGGCGTTAAACTCGGAGGCCCCGCCTCTTAAATAACCTAATAGTGTTGATAGGGGCGTTAAACATGTACCATTTCACCATTTAAGGCTCTCCTCCCATTTGGCTTGGTACTATCGGAGATGGACGTTAAATTCGGCGGTCCCACATTTTGACACTTCACCTTTCGGTGGGGAAAATTGGTGTTTAACTCTGAAATTGTTGTTTTAATGTATCTCGATTCACTCATAATATTATTATGTACCAACAAAACAACCAACCAACCGACTAAATATTCATGATATCTAACAAAACAAAATAGGTTTCAACACCTTCCTGAAACGTTCGAAACAACAGTCAACACGATCCCCACCATTAACATTACATTCTCATCTCGTTAATTACCTCTATAATGTCAAGCTTTTCGCTCAACTGAAATTTATGAGGGCGTTCACCAAAGTAGTGCACATTGTGTCCATGATGTGTGTGTGTGTGTGTGTGTGTGTGTGTGTGTGTGTGTGTGTGTGTGTGTAGGGGTGGGGTGAGTGGGAGTAGACATTTCCTGTCAAATCGATCCCTCCAGATGTTGGTGTTTCCCTGATGGCCACAAAGCCGTCGTGAGTTTTGTTGTTCTTCGGTGTATCTGCTGGTGGTATCTGTGTCACGATGCGGTGAAATCAGGCGCTAGTCATTTTTGGGGTATGTGGAGTAATTGGTATCATCTTAAAGCTTGTTAATATATCTTGCTTTCAATTTTTAAAATATCCATCCATCTTGAGCAGAAGTCGAGATATTTGCATTGAAGTAGATTGGGGTCGCCTGGTTTCAGAGGTAAAATTAGCGAGAAAATGGCCGTCAAAGTTAGGTGATTTCCAAAGCTTCAGAGTCCTTGGAAACTAAAAATTTACAATTGTGTACGTTTAATCAACGTTTTTTTCAATAAAAATCCACACGGAAATGTATTTTCAAAAGGACGTAGAAGGTGGTGAACCAAAAAACCCCCAAAAATTCGACTAAAATTGTCTGGAAAAATGCAGGTCTCTTTTGTTTCATTGTTTTGACGAGCGCCTGACTTCGCCGCGATGCCTGACATTTGCTGCTTCATTTGCCGCTATTGTTGCCACTACCACCATAACCAACCACTGTTTCAGTGAACCACTACTACCATCATCACCACCACCACCGCCGCCACATTGTTGCTCTGAGATGAG